CATGAGTTACAATATTGGATTACAAACTCTCACGAGGGATGTGGACTCGCGATTAAAATAATAATGACGCCACCTACAAGAGGTTGTAACATTGCACAAGGACTATTATTCAACAAATTTTACATACATCTAACGTGTCATTCTAGCCTCTATCGAATTCTCTCTCTCTGAACGGCAGTATCAAGCGAATGGTAAGGAAATTTTGTTTATGATTTGATTTGTGTTTTTAGGTATTTTGTTAAATGCCTTCGATTTGGCGAGATTTAGCGTTTTTTTTTTCTTTCTTATTTTTGTTTATAGGCCTCGCCGAATCAGCAGACAGTGGATTACCCAAGCTTCAAGCTTGTAATTGTTGGCGATGGTGGCACTGGCACTGGTAATTTAACTTTTATATATTGCTTGTTCCTGTTGGTTTGATATAAATTATATTGTATTTCGCTATGCCGTTTATTCTAAAAATTTTTTTTATCACACTTGAATGTACTAACTAAAACTAGCAATTTTTGGGTAATAATCTGTGATGCGTGAAAAAAATCTTCGTGCCTGTCTTCAATTGAATTTATTCTGTTTGATTTGTTTAGCTGTTGTCAAATATGTTATTTTCGATTTCTTAATTGTGTTTGGCTGGTTTTCTTTGGCCAAACGTTGATTTTGAGAGTAGGAATTAAGGTTCATTGTAAGTGACCCTAGGTCAGTGTACTGTGTTTTGATAAACATATTATTTGAAGTTCAAATTGTCCACCGGTATCAAATTCTGTTTGGTTACAAGTAAGGATCTATGGTTGAACCTGTTGAAACCATAATATGATACCATATAATCTTTCCTACCAAACATGAAATTAGAAAAAAATTATATTTTTGGTTTACAACAATCCCGGGAAAAAGTATAGAATAAAAGAGTAATTATTTTTTCATTTTTTTAATTTCAGTTTTGGATATAATGGAGTTTCTTTATGCTGTTATAGGGAAAACAACATTTGTGAAGAGGCATCTCACTGGTGAATTTGAGAAGAAATATGAGCGTTAGCCTGATTGACAAGTTATGCTTCAATTGTGATATTTTATTAATTATTTTGATATGGGTATAGCAACCATTGGTGTGGAAGTTCATCCCTTGGATTTCTTCACAAACTGTGGAAAGATCAGGTTTTACTGCTGGGACACAGCTGGTCAAGAGAAATTTGGTGGCCTCAGGGATGGATATTAGTAAGTAACATTTACTAAGATGTGATAGAACGTGTTATCAATAATTTCAATTGGTTTACAAACTCTGCATCTGTTATATTTTCCAAGGGTAAGCAAAGAAAGTTAAAGGTTTTCTTCCTCTTGGACAATGCTTACACATTTTATACTGAACTGCATCGAATCTAGTTGTACTTGATTGCATTGGCAGGTTTTATTGCATATAAATTTTATATGCATTCACGTTATCTGTGAGTCCATTGAAATATTAAGCTGCTTCCATTTATGTGTTAGAGCAAGTCCCCTTTCAGGTAAATTATCTGAAAAAAAAAAATGCATTCCTAGTTTTGGAGTCACTCCAGTCATGGATCAGGTTGATGATGCATCTTGAGAACTGAATTATTATATTTGAGCATCTTCCGGGCAGTATACCGTTATCTTTGTTTAGTTTGTGTTGCCGAACGTATTAGAGCCAACTGAAAACATTATCATGCTGTATAAAAACAGTTGTCAAATTTTGTGCTAATGGGATGATTGATTTATGTAAATTTTTGTCTGTAGTTAACATTTTATAATCTCCATATTGATCAATCATCATTACTGTTGTCTCACTTGTACAGTATCCATGGGCAATGCGCAATCATCATGTTTGATGTAACAGCTCGGTTGACTTACAAAAATGTTCCAACATGGCACCGTGATCTTTGCCGGTGTGTGACTCATGTTTATTTATCTGCCTGTTTGGTTCGGTTGTTTTTATGCAAGATTGACATGGCATTGAATCCTGTTGACCTTCAACCCTCAGGGTTTGCGAGAATATCCCAATTGTTCTTTGTGGGAACAAGGTTGATGTGAAGAACCGACAGGTGAAGGCAAAACAAGTTACCTTCCACCGCAAAAAGAATTTGCAGTACTACGAAATATCAGCAAAGAGTAATTACAATTTTGAGAAGCCCTTTCTGTACCTTGCCAGGAAACTTGCTGGGTAAGTAACTTCAACTAGTTAGGATCAAACAAAAATATAGGGATCAAAACTTGCACTTTGTGGAATCTCCTACACTTGCTCCTCCTTAAGTGCAAATCGATTTGGCTGCACAACATCAGTAAGCCCACGCTCTTTCTATCCCTCTCATCACTAGATGCAAGAGTACACTTATCCCATAAATATTAACTGGAATGTGGTGAATTTTGCAGGCATGAAGCAAAGCTCGCTGCAGCTGCAAGTCAGCCATTGCCTGACAATGATGATGATGCCTTCGAGTAAAAACTTTCAATCAGAAGGATCTTTATGTGGTGCATTCCCTTGATGGCCAAATTTTTCTCTTGTTATTTTGGGATTGTCAAGCTTTTCTATCCCGGGTTCAATATCCTAATGTAGGGGTTTTGCATTCTTGATAGACTGTGGTTTTTGATTTGCTTGGGGGGAAGATAACTCATCGTTTATCTATGTATTGGATATGATACTAGTTGTACGGCGCTGTTCATATAGATGAGTGAGATTCTTATGGTTAATGTTTACTTCCGATTTGCTTCCGACTGGAATTTATATCATTAAAATGCAGAAGTGGATAATTGTAAAGAAAAGAATATCGAAAATGCATAGGCAATAACTGCAAAAATTATGAAGAAATATAACAAAAACAAATAAATTCCGTGCAAGTCGTGTGGGAAAAATACAAAAACTGTAAAAATCTATTCTTCGGAAAAGTTCATATAGAGAATTTTTGAAGTGGCATTCATCAGAAAGCTTTTAAGAACATGCTCCAGTGAAGGAACTTAAAAGGCAACTCCGTATTATAAGATGCTCGAAAGGGCTGAACTGAAATAAGTAAAATAGTAAATCGACAATTGGAAAAATTGTAACTCTTTATGAACACGAACTCCATAAATCCACTAGATATAAATTTCCTATGAACTTCTACTGAATGTATTTGATTCCCTCTGCTTCTCCACTCCACAATTTTGTCTCCTTCGAGTGTTCACAGATGAATCTAGTCCAACTTTTTGCTTTATATGATTCTCCAAGGAGAAAATATCAAGCCAAAACAAGTCAAAAGAGCTCCACAAGATCATAGAAATGGAGGTGAACAGCCAGCCTGTAGCAGAACCTCACCAATACATGATATTCTAGGAGAACACACTAATCATACATCCGAAATATTAATTACATGTTAAAATATCCTTATGATTATCCTGCCAGTTTAATTCTTGCAGACCATATAAAAATAAAAAATAAAGACAAAAGATGATAAAAATGACTGGAGGAGAAAGATAAACAATCAATTTTCTCAAAAACATGAGCGGCACTATAATGGAGCTTCATATAGCTTTTTAAAGAGTTGCTTTGGTGCAAGTTTTGCAGTCACCGAACACCCAAAAATTAAAATGTTGGACTTAAAATCAGACTTATGCTTGAAAATAAAATGGGGGCCTGTTTAGCTATATATTTTTTCATCCAGCATAATTACAATCTTGACAAATCAGGATAAGCCTGAAATTAAGTTAAACATTTACATAGATTAAATATAGATACAAGAGACTGGCCGTAAGTTTGTCAAATCTGTGACAAAGTGGAAGACTTCCAATAGTTTGTGCCAAGAGGAATGCGACAAACTCTTACATCATCATTAAGCCTTTGGAAGAAATTGAAGCATGCCTCCAATTGCGGCCCTGGAAAATGTAGGAAATTGAACGTCGATCAATAACATTCCCAACCAGAAGATTATGTGCTGCCAAAAGCGTATGGAGAAAATCAAACTAATAATAGTTTACAACCAATATATACTCAATGGCAAAGGTCATTAAGAAGCAGCATGCAACTCAAAGCTAATCACAGATGAGTTCATGTCGTAAACTCCATTACAGTGAGCCGAAGGAGAACTAGACACTTTGAATTAGAAGCTTCTTAAACTCCTAAAAGATGTCTTTCCCTTTATGACTTCAACACAATATCAAATGTGACTCCTTCGAATATTCAATATGCGTCTTTAGCAGAACAGTTCTAGGTGTGCAAGCTTTCTAGATTAGTTTTCAGCTATGCACTGCACACAGTAGGAGTTCATGATAGAAGCATATAGTTTCAACAAGTTCAAACTGGTAGAAGATCACAATAGATATCTGACACCAAAGGGCGAAATAAAAGGGTATTACATGGATATTTGGAACCTGCCAATTAGGTACATAATGCTTCTGCCTCAAAAATAATAGTTCTCATGCAGTAAAGATGTTTACAACACTATTATAGTAACTGGAACAAAAAAAAAATGCGTACTAGCCAGCAAATCTAAATACGGATAAAATAAATTCATTTCTTTGGAGCAATTGTCTACATTATTTTATCAATAAGAATTTGAGACATGTCATAGTTACAAAATGTCACTGTCTAGATAATCATAGAGCAAACGACTAAGACAGAAGATACACAACATAACAGGTCATCTTTCTTACAATGTTGAACCAGAAAATGAAAGGATTAAATCCTATGATGAACAAAAAACTAAAGAAAAACACTGGTTCTGCATTATCTGACATGTGAACCAGTTTTAGTGGAAATTAGATACTTCAACCCCATCAAATGTTCATCATTTGAAATGTGGAGCATAATACGAAGATTTGTCAATAATGCCTCTTTGTCCCAACTTAAGGGACCAGAAGCATACAATGCTTCCAGAGTGCAATGATAAGCATGCAACTCTAACCTATGGATCCTGGCTTCCACTTCTTCTTTTGGGAGACGTGGACCACTTTTTCCCTCAGAGCCTGAGCCTGGACCATAACACGACTCCACATCACTGCAAGGAGCATCTGTCACTTGGCATGGTAGTGGTAGTGGTAGTGGTATGACATGACTATGGTAGTTGTTTGGACTCTGACTAGTAACACTACAACTACCAACAGAACAGGCATCGGTATCTGAATTATTAAATTCAGAAACCCCCGTATTCTTCGTTTCTTCTTTCACAATTGCTCTTATTTTCTGGACATGTCCATTATTTGCTTCAATAACAGATGAGCAGTAGGGGGACACCCTCTTCAGGGACCTTGAAAATACTAGATGAGATTCCCGTACTCCAGAATCACTCTTAATGTGTGCACAATACTTTTGAGCTTGATTTCTATCCATCGCATTAACTTCTGGGGCCTGGAAACTCATATTTTGATAATAATCTGAATTCAACAGCGTGCTAGCTTTTCCATCATCATCACATCCTCTGGAACCCTTCAAGCAGGAAGCATTGGGAGATCAGAGATTGCAAGCAAAGGATTTACAAGTAATCAGGCAAATAAGAGAAAAAAAGGAAAGTCTAACAAAGCAAGATTGACGTCGTCGTGAGGCAGAATATGTGGGGGTCAATCAACTGATGTCAAGAAACATGTACTGCAGAAAATTAAGATCTCAACAAATAACTAAAAGAAGTAAAATACCTTCCCATCATTGTGCCAGGTTTGTCTAATCCTAGCGTTTGATCTGTGCATTATTAATTCCTGAGAGCACCCGAGAAGCCTTACTAAAAATTGATTGACATTCAAAACTATCAAGATCGCCGCAATCTTCCACGAACAGTCATCGAACACCTCCACAATGCTTCTGGCTATACAATTCTCCAAACCTTCCACGAGAAGGATATTGAACACAAGAAATCACCACCTGTCATTTCCATGAAAACAATATCACACAACAAAATAAGAACCCTGGTCAATAGATGTGAAAGAAAATATTCTGATAACTGAAAAAAGGTAAATAAAAACCTCATCTGCATCTTATAGCATAAAAGTAAATAAAACTAAATGTATAAAACTTCTATTCCAGAAGGATCAACTTTAAAAATCCAAAGATATCCCCAAATATTGATTAGAAATAAACCAAAGATTTTGATCTTCTGGTTAAATCAAGGTAACCAATTTTAATAATTTCCGAAAATCAGTAAAAAAAAAAAATATTGAGTTGGTCTACACAAGTTAAACTTATTTTAACCTAAACTCGAACACTACACCAAAAATTTTAAAATTCATATCAATCAATAGGAAATGAATTAATACCATAGAAGATACAATCTATTACAAAAATCTCTAAATTCTAATGCCAAAAATTTAACCAATTGAGATGTTCAAAGCCCCCAAGTTGATACCCTAAAACTGAGAAATTACTCACCTGCAATCAAAATTGAAGGAAAAATTCGATTTCAGAAATTTCTAATTTGTGTTTTGATCTCTGGGGAATTCTAAATCACACAGGGGGAATTTAATTTTGCGTTCTAGGGTTTGTTTCTTAGGCGTGACGATAATTAATTGGGACAAAAAAATAAAAAATATTTGTAAATATGAGGTGGNGAAGATACAATCTATTACAAAAATCCCTAAATTCTAATGCCAAAAATTTAACCAATTGAGATGTTCAAAGCCCCCAAGTTGATACCCTAAAACTGAGAAATTACTCACCTGTAATCAAAATTGAAGGAAAAATTCGATTTCAGAAATTTCTAATTTGTGTTTTGATCTCTGGGGAATTCTAAATCACACAGGGGGAATTTAATTTTGCGTTCTAGGGTTTGTTTCTTTGGCGTGACGATAATTAATTGGGACAAAAAATATATATATATTTGTAAATATGAGGTGGAGGGTATTATT